CGGATATTCCTCGGAAACGGATACTTGAATAAAGTAATAGAAAGAAACATACGGTCCGTGAAAATCCGATTGTTTGGACGGGATTATGCAAGAACAACAAGGACGACGAAAGACCCACAAAAGTTAATATTTCTACCCTCCCGTGAACTAACTCAAAAATTACAGTCGATAATAATAAAATGGAATATTCAGACGGCCACCAGGGAAAGATACCACACTTCACACGTTCATTCACGCAAAATATGATGGAGTAGGAAAATATGATTGCTTGGGAGTTTACCACATAGCATATGGGGTCTGCAAACAGAAATATATCGATGAAACAGGGAGAAGAATCAAAATACCAATCAAGGGACATCAAAGACTGCAGAAAAATGGATACTGAAAGATCATAAATAGCGGAACACGCATCCCAGACAGGACACGCGATCAACTTGGAGGCAACAGAAAGAAGGGCCCTATATGATATAAATACAAGGAAACGGAAGACTTGGGGGAGAAAACATAATTAACAGGTGATCGGAAGAGGGCAGAACTTTGCCTACTTCCTAAGCAAACTCGGTGAAAACAAGGATGCGACAAGACAAGTACCTATCATTAATTTAAGAAAAAGGGATCGCAAGGAAGAACTGGGCGAGGATATTTCGAGATCAAACAATGAAGCACTCAGTAATTCTAGACTTCTCAAAGAAGCAACTACAACTTTTGGGCCCTGACTGTCACATGACTTGGGAGGCAGATAATAACAACCTTCACAGAAATTTGGCATTATGGCCATATTGACTAGAAATCCATTCAATATACAGCATGCGACCAAAGATAGACATTCACAGTTTGCTTAGGATACATGGGTTTAATCAAGGAGTTTGCCCGTGAAGGCAACGTCTAATATCTGTAAGTATTAAAATCGAGCCTATGCACTCTGCTTGGTGAGGCGACAGTGTACGCGCTACGTAAGGCTTGAGAAATAGGACCTGGAGTAAAAAGTACACTTGGTCTAGAACCTAGTGAAATAGGTCAAACAGTAAGATGTGAAACGAATATATGAATCCATTAAGGAGATTCGGATGGGAGGCCCGAGTCGGATCAGTAAATCGAAAGGGAATGTTGGAGTACCTTTCATTTCGTTTGAAGTGGCGAGCGGAAGGGATTCGTAATTTGGTTCCACCGTGTGCTGTGGGGTGGGGTTGCCTTGGAGCTTTGGTTGTAGATTTGTGCGAATTGGTCCTCGGCGCAGCCTTCGGTGGAAACAACTTACGAATCCCTTCCATTCACCTCTTCAAGCGAAATGAAAGGTACCCTAACAGCAATCTATAAAGGGATTGTTCGAAACCCAGTTTTTCTACAAATCATAGAATGCCGCAGTAAGATGGCAAAGTGAGGTATAAAAAGTAGAAACTCAGCCGGTCAGCTTTCTTGGTTTAGTGTTATTTGATGATTGTTCGTAAACAATGGTTTCTTGCTTAGACGATATCTGTAACATGAAGTGCGAAAGTTCAACCGGAAGTCATCAGCAGGACGGTAAGTCAAGGTCTTCTTCGCACAATTTAACAGTCACAGTTTCAAAGAAACCCTCCTGTATCAGATGAGGCCAATTTACGAATCCCTTCTACCCGCCTTAAACGAAAGGAAAGGTATGCCAGTATTAATCTATTAAGTGATTCTTCTAAAATCCACCTTTTCTCCATAGTAATATTTTAGCCGCCGCCATTATGGCTCATTCTTTTGATCTTTAAACCAATGCATTGAATTTCCACGAATTGTTATGATTACTATGCTTTGATAGGGTAGGTTTTTTATGACTTTTTAGGCTGTTATTTTTTCACTTTACAATATATAAGAATAGATAATATTCAATCTTTCAATTCTTATTAATGCCATTTAGATACAATTTTTCTGAGCAAGGGTCATTGGTCACTGCTGGCTCAACTAAAGATAAGCAAAGTCAGAAGATGAAAATTTCGTTGGCTATCGGTCTAGCTCTTGTTCACCTACGCCGCCTCATGTTTTCGCGACGAGTCAACCCGGCCCTTGACGGATATCAGGTGCCTATAGTCTTTCTGCCTGGATTCTGTTGTTCTTCTATCCTCGTGCTCTTTTAAGCTTTTCGTTTATCTTAAATAATATTAGCTATATACTTAGTGTGAATGACTTTGATGATACCTATCATGCTGTTTTTTTGATTACTACTGCAATCATTCTTTTGTGCCTTGCATCCACTTACTCTCTAAATTAATGAATCCATTTTGCTATGTTGTTTAAAGTATCCATAGAAAGAAATAATTGTAAGCAAACTTTTTATTTTTTCAAAATGATCTTCCATCGAAGTTTAATTATTGTCCTCCTTTATGCTCGGCTACAGGACTTATGCAAGCCTAGCCTCTTAAGGGGCTATATATCAATGTTTGATAGATGCGATATATACGGGAAATCAGGATGAAGGCAAGATCATCGTACGGCCATAGTACTGAGCATATCTAACTAATGATTTAATAAAATTTCGTCTATATGTAAGAGGATTAGGAAACGCTTTAAGAAAGCAAGTCTATGTGGAATTCGATGAAAACTTCATCCCTACTCATATCATTGTGGGAAAATTCAACTTCCAGTCTTTCATCACCTTAAGCGAAATGGGGTGAATACATCTCATATAATAAACATTTTGATCTTCTGTAGTCAAGTTAGACTAGTGATAAAATTATCTTTTTCTTGTATTTCAACTTGAATGTCAACTATTAAATTTCATTAAAAATATCCTTGAGACATTTGGCAGCCAACCTTCTCCAGACTCTTTCATTCTATTCAGATACGCTCGTAATGCATCGTGCGTGACAATTTAATAATTTTTCCCAGGGATCACAAAAACGCTTCTGAACGGCCTTTGTTTTTAAGTGTTCGGAAGAAATTTATGGAAATATCTGTTGCTTACGTCCATTCCGAGGGGAATTGTTTGGTCGAGAGATTCGAAGTTCGATCCCACCAAAAAATTACAGCAGATTCTTCTTGGCCAGCTGTCTAATGAATTTACTTGTATATTCTTGTTGGCGCTGTTTCCGAAGTAATCTCCTTCTATTTCGGTGAAAAAGTGCTAGGCTTTTGTCCTTTATGTGACAGAGTTATCCTTGCAATCATATTCAAGCTAGAGAGTCAAGAAAACTCACCGGCTCATCTCTTAAATGCCGTATATATATATACTATATAGCTGAGCTCTTTGATCAAGTATAAAGTGATTTGGTTAGTTCCAGTCATATTTCAATCTCGATGTATGTCAGTGTGTCAATTTTATATGTATATGTGCCTGTATGGGTTAGCATATGCACGAAACCGGCGTTGATGGTTTAAAGTAGCTAGAAAAGAAGAAGTAACGTCTTTTCTAGGATATCAAGGTTTGATGGCTGATATCACTCCCTCTATATATTTTAACCATCAATCCGGTTGCGCAATGTCGGTCATACGTTTGTTGATGTTGATGAGCTTTTTGTCTTTATGTGAGCGAGAAAGAGTAGGCTAAAAAGTACAGAAAAATCATCGTGATTGGAGCCAAAACTCGAAAAGACTGATTGCTTCGTCTCTTTAGAGGTGACTCGTTAGCTTGAATTTGGTTGCAAGGATGATACCCTGCTCTGATGAAGTCCGTCATACGAAGGACGAAAGCTTAGAACGTTTTCACCGGAATCAAAGGGGATTACCCCGGAAACGGTATCAAAAGAATGTTCAAGTTAAGCCAATCCACAGGTGGCCAAGAGGAATCCGCCGTTGTCTTCTAGTGGGATCGAGATTCGAATATCTTCATCAAACATTTTTACTCTAAATGGAAGTTAGCTCGATAATTCTGAACTAAAAGAGATTCATCAAAGCCCAACTTTTCTTCAAATGAAAGTGGCTGTCCAGATAACCGCTTGTGCTACTTCACGCTATCCTGGATCATGTCGGCTTGATGGCCAAGTTTGGGTTGAAATTTATTTTTTATTTAAAAAGGGCTCTGAATTTATCATTGTCCTTAAATGATTATGATTTTCTGCTATTTATTTTGCTCGTGGAAAGCTCGAAATAGAAAATATGCCGCTATAACATTTCCATGCCTTTATTTATCTATTTCTCTCTCAATTATCTTGTGAGATAACCTCCATTATCCTGGCAAAATGTTTCTTTCTATCTAGTTCTCTTCATCCAAGTATTTTCCGGGCAATTTTGCATTTTTTTTTATATGAGATAATTTTTTCGCCTAAGCTGATATTATTATTTCAGGAAGCATGGCACATCTTAACTCCCCTTGGATTATCGCCTTTCTGAACAGATCTTCCCTTTTGGTAAAATTTAGCTACTAGGTCCATTCTTTTGAGTTTGTTGTCTCGGCGGCTCGAAAATTGTCATAAGTGCAACTCAGCCGAGCACTACTTATCTATTAGTCGTTTTTCCTTTTGCTTAGTTCCTCTTCCGTATTCTCACTTTCTCTCTCTTTCTTATATTCAGTTCCAAGTTGTCTCTATCACTTTTTATGGGAAGCTTCAGCTCTTTTTTTTGGATTTTTTTACATAACACAGTAGTTAGGGCATCGTTATGACCACCATTAACTAATAGATTATATCTTCATTTATTTTTACCCCGTTGTTCACATTAGTATTCGCTATTAATTTTTGTTCTCGATCATTTATTTCCATTTTTACTAAAAAAAACTAAAAAATAACGCGTATATACGATGGCGAACATGTTATGGCCTCTATTTCGGTTTCAGCCTCCTTTTGATATATAGTAGTTTTTTGACCTTGTTTTCGCAACTTGGTCATATTAGCTGGAAGACCTAGAGGAACGCATCTTATACTGAGTTCATAGTATGCATGATAATTCCCAGAGTCGGATCGTGGACTTGGTGCATTCCCAGACGTTTCACCAGTATCTTCAGTGAGTCTTGTCATTCTCAGTACCAAATTACAACTCGTCAAAGAGACGAGTGAAGTCAATCCTTTGATCAACTTTCTGCCGAAACGGTTGTGCTATCACTCCTCTTTTTGTCCTGGTTCGTCTATCTATTTCCTACCATTTTGCCTCCCCCTCATCCTATCACGACTTCTGACCTGTTTATATTCTACTCCACAAGAAGTGTGCCTTTTTTGCGAATTCACCTTGGCGTAATCACACTTTCTGTTTGCCTTACCCAGCTCCTTTTCGAGTGGCTGATGCGACTCGGGCCTC